ACATCAAGAGGTGGGATTACTACCTTCAATCTTATGATGTATTCTTCCTCTTTCTCAACAAAAAACGTGTTGAATTTCTCGAGCTCATCTTCCAAAAGCTTAACAAAATCAGTCTCCTCTGTCGACATACCGTCGCCATCGCCAACGCCAAATTTATCTCCGGCGTCGACAACGTCACCAGAATTTTCATCCAATCTAAGCCGTTTATTCGGCCTCTCACCGGACTTAGGCTCAATAAGCTTCAATTTCTTCTTAAGATCCTTATAAGAAAGGAACTTATCCCGCCATTCAGGCAACGTCTCCTCAATCTGGTTACTGAGGCTCTTCCCAAATTTCATGGCAAAAACTCTCTTCTTCAACTCTCAAGGGGGCGTTAGGCTAGTGAGAAAATGAGAAAGAAAGTGAGGGAAAATAAGAGAAAACGGAGGCAGAGGCGGATATAACGGAAAGGGACGAATATTCGGTGGGTAGGGGTGTGAATATCCGTTGGGATTTTCTAAAACGAGAGTATATCTCGGGTTTTATTCCCTTGGAAAGAGACAGGTGTTAGTTTTGTATTTGTTTGTTTATTTTATTATTATTTCGTTTTGGATTATTTTATTTTTAAGGTAATTCTTTTTAAATTTTTTGACTGGACGTGGTTTTGTGGCGGCACGAAGGGAGTTTTTGTTTGGATCTGAACTGGATACTGTTGAGTTGGTAGCTGCTTGTGATTAACAAAGTTAAGATATTTATATAATGTGAAAATTAATTCAACTTATTCATGATATTTTATAATTTTAAATTTTAAATTATAGTAAATATAATTTTAAAAAATAAAACTTTAATAAAGATTGATAAAATGGTAAGAGATGGATGACATATGTATTGACCCCTAAATTTCAATTTATTCATAATTTTTCGTTGAAAGAAAATATGTTATATAATGCTTAGACTCCATTTGGATGAATATTAAGATTGATTTTTGTGAGATTAAAAATAATCATAAAAATAAAATTAATTATTGTAATTGTGAAATTATATATTATAATGATAAGATTAAAATCAATGATCAGATGTGTTTAGATGAAATAAATTATAATGAAAAAAATGATCGTTAAAGATATTAATTTAAAAGTATACTAACAAATTATTTTTTACGTATATTTTAATATTATTTAATATTTAATATATTAAAAATTTATTCAATCTAAATATTGACACATGTTAAATTATGTTAAAATGAAATTTAAAATTTTAAATATAAAAATTTATTTGAAATATTTAATATTTCAAAAAATAATACTTGTAACAATTATAAATATAATACTAAAATAAAAATATATGACAAAATAAAACATTCAAATATTAATAAAAAATAATTATTATTTAAACAAAACAAAACATATTTACACATCCTAAAATAAAAGTTAATAATACTAATTTATTTTATTATTTATTTAGTTATCTATTTTAATTAATTAATTATAAAATTTGTTTTTTAATATTTACTATAAATTTATTTGATTATAAAAATGGATTATTTATTTATACATTTATTATTTTTATCTATTTATTTATTAATAATTTTATTATATAATTATATAAATGATATATTTTATAATAATAAAAATTCTTGTAAGGAGATAAAAAGGGTATAAATATAAAAGTCCACTGGAACTTAATGGTCCAGTTGAGAAAAAGGGGCTAGCACGGTAGATTATGCTTCACCATGACATAGCAGTGTTTGTCAAATGAGTGCGCAGTGAGATTCAAAGCAAAATTTGCACCTCACTGGCACTGCAGGATGATCCAAATGAAGCCTTAGTATGTTGTTGTTTAGTCTGTATAAAAAAATATATAAAATTATAAGGATGATTAATTTTTTTATATACAAAATGATTCAATCATCTCAAAATATAATAAATTATTTTTAATTTATATAATTAAACTTATATTTTTATTATACTCTTAAAAATTATATTAATAATTTAAATTATATAAATTATAAAAATGGATAATTTTTTTTTTTTTTGTTCACGAAAGAGCATAAGGATAAGAAAAAAAGGGAAAGCTATCCTGACTCGAAACCAAGACCTTTATATTTTCATAACATCTCTTTAACTACTAAATCAAGATATGGAAGATTAAGAAAAAATAATTTTAATTAATAAATAAAATTATTTATTTTAATTTTTACATATATCAAACATTATAAATATGATACTATTTAATCTAATTATATTTATAATATTATTTTATCATATCCTATCATAATTTTATATACCAAATATATTATTAAATGCTTTAAATTAAATTGATATTATGATGATAACTTGGACAATTAACTCAAAGTTTAGTTTAATCTTATAGTTTTGAACTAACAAGTAATTATAAATCATAAGTCTTAATTACAAGGCACTATAGAAACATAATAGCAATTCTATTAATTCTATATCTTATAATTTATCTTTTTTTATTTTTTTAAATTTTGTGTAGGGATAAGTTAAGTATGGATAAATTTTTACTTATTTCGAAGTTAACTCGATTTTTTATTCATAATATTCAAATTCGATTAATTATTTATTTTAAATTTTTTATATTTGAACTCGACCTAATTAAATATTGTGTAAAATTACATTTCATTCGATTTGATTTGAAATTAATAAAATATAAAATTAAATAAATATTTAATTAAATAAAAATTTAAAAATATTATATATATATATAAGATCAAGATGAATTTGCATAAAATTTAATTTGACTCAATTTTGTTATATATTTACTCAATCCAATTCAAAACTAAATTTAAAAAAATAAATATAAAAAATCAAATAGAATCAAAACTTATCTTGGGTGAGTTAAACTCGTATTCCTAATTTTGTATATTCCCTCGTCACAAGACTATTTATAGCAAGTGGCAATAATGGTACGGAAATCTTGCTAGATACTGAATTATTATTATTATTTGATACTAAATTTTTATTTTGAAACCTAGAAAAAAGTCTAGAAGCATTCTTGGTAACTGTCTCTTTTGAGATTGGACGTGTATTATTATTATTATAGATGGGGGAACCTTTCCACGTGTATTATTAGTATAGATGGGGGGACCTTTCTTTTATATTTATAAACAGGCTTACCACTTAATTCCAAGGTCAAATCAAGGTACAAGAATTGGGTGATAGGAGTGGGCCTCGGGTACAATTGAATAAAAACAGCTCACTATATCTAACGAGACAAGACATCATTCAAGACCAACCAACTGCCCTCGGTTACCTCAATTTTTTTCTCAAGCCTATTACAAGCGAGCTAGTTTCCTTAATTCTACTAGTTTTCTTGCAAATGAGACCATTTTTAGCTTCATTTTCTTCCTCCTGCTTTTGAATTTTGATTAATCAATAATGGAGGTAAATTGCAATCATCAGTAAATTGCGATTGTTTAGAGCAAATTATAGATATTTCCTCCATCTCATATCATTTGTCATGTGTTAATTTTTTTAGGAATTTAAAAAAATTATAGAATTAAAATTTTATGATTTTTAATGTAAAATAATAAAAAATCATAAAATATAAAATGGCAAAAATTTTAAATATTAAAAAAAGATATAATTTTAAGACATTTAAAAAAATAAACAAAAAAAATAATAGAGGGAATAATATATTCATATATATATATATATATATATAGTCTAAGTTTTTTTTTGAGAAAATTAATATATTTTTCTAGGTCTTGATAAGAGCTAAAACTGTGCCATTAACTATAGGGATGAATAATGGTTGTATGCAATTGTCATGCAAGCTTCCGTGATGTGATATAAATTAATAAACTTGATGTGATGCTTTTTTAGATACATTTAGATTAACCCTACGTGTATAAGGTTAATTTCTAGCTACTTCATTAAAAGATAAGAAAGATGTAAGATCATTAGGAAACGAAATAAAAGTAACATAATTGGTTTAGGTGATATTTAATAAATTTAAATTTTAAAAATTTTAATATTTATAATTTATTTTTTTATTTTCATACTAGAATATAAAAAAGTAATATAAAATTTATGATCATATAGAGGATATTGTAGCTGCAATACTACAACAATAGCAAATAAAATTTCTTTCTAATTGTTGTAAGGAAGGGTTTAAATATGAGAGTAATTTCTACAATAATTTTTTGTACAAAGTGTTATACTAAATTTTGAAGACAAATTGGAAGTATGTATGAATAAGACAATTATTTGCTCATTTAATTACATGATGATATATGCTTGTCATAGAATTAATAATTGCTAATATAATTATTAAGATTATATGCCAAAAGTGGAAACTATATAATTTTGCAATTAATAGAGTTGTATGTGCCCTTCAATTAAACCTATTACTTTCCTTTCTTATACTTATTACATATCTATAACTTATGTTAAAAGTTGTCCCCGTTTTATATTGATGGGACAACTTTGCAATGTAAGAAAGAAAAATCCAAGGGCAATTTTGGGGTTAAAAAAGTTTCTTCTCTAGAAGCTTCATCTCCTTTTTTTTACCCTTCCCTCCTTTTAATTCACTCTTCTTTTACTTTACCTCTTGCTCTCAATGAGAAATGAAAGAATCTGAAAACCCATATAACTCGGAATGAAGATAAAAAAGATTGAAAAAAATAGATCATTGCCATGTTCTTTCAATCAGATACATAGAACACTGCAATAAAATCAAGTTTCTTTTACCACTGTTAAATGTTAGACTAAAAAATCAGTCAAAAACAAAGCCTCGAATTGTTCAGATTTCAGTTATTGATGCTGATGCCACTAATTCCTCTAACAACGACTCACAATTTCTTCATTTCTATCGTTATGGCCATCAACAGCTTAGCAATGAAAGTTGTTTTTATGCTTTGGTTTTTGTTTCTTATATTCTTCTCGCTTTTTTTTTTTTTTTACAATTTTTAGTATTTTTGTTATTTTGTTTGTTTTCTATGTTTATAAGAGTTTCTTCTCTTCTTCTCATGTTTTATTTTTTAGTTTTATTTTTTGCTTTTTTTTTTTGCGGGTGTTTCTTTTTTTTTGTCTATGTGTTTTTGTTGGCATTTTGATGTTGTTGTTTTTGTGCAAGCATGATGTTCGATTAATTATTTTTATTTCTGTTGCATTATACAAATTATTCTTTTTATGTGGTCATGGGGTTTTCTAGATATGAGTTTTATGTTTGGATTTTTTTTGTGCATGGTTTTTTTCTTTTTGTTAAGCTGGGTTCTTTTGGCGAGGCAATGGAGTGTTTAGAGCACATTTGCATGCAAATGTGCACAACTGTCGGGCCATATGACATATGACATGGAGCCAGCAAAGAGAATGAGCCCCAACAATAAATAAACTATGTGTCAAGGTGTCCAGTTATTGATCAAACACTTTGCTTCATACAAGAGAAAGGCTAATGGAGGAAGATGCTCTTGGTGCAAGCGAATGTGGTAGCTTCTTATACTCTATTCCTCCATTTGTAATCAGCCTAATTCTTACAGGTTCT